GGAGCTACTATCAAGAAAGATAGGATAAAATGCAAGGGAAGCAATATGCGAGTCAGTCTGAAATGTGTTATATTTGAGATGCCTACTCCATATGCCACAAGGCAGTTGGTTATGTGAGCTTGGTAGTTAAGTCGGAGATCTGTGAGAGAAATTTGGAAATTGTCTGGTTTACAGATGTTATTTAAAACCGTGACATCATATGAAATTATCGAGTGTGGTAATTGTTATATTAGGGGCTGTAAATGAACCATGCTTTCTGAAATACCTCCGTGGTGTTGTCTCTGCCCTTTCAGTCTGGCCTGGATTTGTGACTTGCTCTCACTAATAAAGCAGCAGAGTAGGATACCGTGGCAATTCTTGACCTAATGCTTAGGAAGGCGTGACAGCTTCTGCTTTTGCACCCTTGAGAGTCCTTCCAACTGTTTAAGACCCACTTGTCCTGCTAGAAAGTCTATGTGGAAAAGGCAAGGCCCTAGACTACCTACAGGAGAGCTAAGGACCCAGCGGACAGTCATCATTGCCCCAGAGAAATCACTTGCCCTACCAACCTCGCTATAATAAGATGCCAGATATGTGACTGAAGAAACCACCTTGTCTGGAGATTAGAGAGCTTCATGCAGGCTCTCAGGGTTATCCCTGCTATGTCTTTCAGATTTCTCAACCCACAGAATCATGAGAAATCATATAACTGTTGTTTAAGCAACTAAATTTTGGGTTAGTTTGTTGTGTATCAGTCAGTAACTAACATAAGAGTGAATGAATGTTTTTTAAGAGTTTCACTGAACTCTGGGGCACTCCGACATTTGAGTCAAAGTGATAAGGAATGACTAAGCAAAGGATGCTGAAAAAGGAACCACCTCTATGGAAGGAGGTTGATTATTCATGGCTTCCTACAAAACTATGTATTTTATTTGAGACTATGAGCTAAGTAGCCTTAGTTTCACAAGGGCAGAGACTGCCGCTCCTATGCCTAGTACTGTCTGACTCATAGTAGGTGCTTATTACATAGTTTTTGTGTGAATGAATAAGTGATGTCTGGAGCAGAAAGAACAAGAAATGGTAACACTTTCCCT